CTGGCAGTGGCAGTTGCCGAGGTCGGCTGCGCGTCCTCCTCGTCCTCCTCAGCGCCCAGACTGACTGACACCTCGGGGGAGGCGGGGCAGTTGTGTCTCAACTCCGCGATGGTGCCGTTGAAGAAGGAGACATTGTGTCGCTGGCTGACCTCCGTCTCGTCGCGTTCCTGTGCCACTGAGCAGACCGGTTCTGTGTCTACAGGGGGGGTGGGGACAAACCAGGAGGAAGTTAGCGGTCCGTTTGCTTTAATTCAAAGTAACTCGATCTACGGGGCAAAGTAGTTGAAATAGTGGACCCCATATGCCCCAAGACCAGCATTCTGTCTTACGGAACCGGCAGTAATAGGAGATATGTGGGCGGGGGAAATTGGATGAGCCGTGAAGAAAAGTTGTTTCCTGACCTGTTTGTTCAAATATCTCTTAAATGCTGTTTTTTACTTATTTTTTTCGATTTATGTGCTCTAATCCGTTGTCATATAGCGGCCACGATAAACAAATTTAACCAAAGTTCACCACTTTACACTCTACAAACTTCCTTCACTTCTTATCCTATTTACCCACTCAGAAAATCACCGGTCACGCATGACAGAATGCTGGGGATCGGTGTACATAAGATCTACTACTTAAACTAGCATGCCTTGGCCTATGTCCACATACTCTTCAAACGCCACTCGGGAGTTCCAAGACGATCAAGGACCACTGCTCTCTGTCACAGATTCCGTTGAAGTTCCTGAATTCCGGCGTTAACAGCGTTTCAAGGTAACTGTTGGCATGTGGTCTTAGCGTGACAGACGAAACGGCCATATGTGTTCTTCGTAAGGTCTTCCAGGAATGTATCAGATATTCATCTCGTTCTATACATCCGATAAGAACTTGGTTGTCACGTTTGCCTTAGCAAGCCTGGTGTCAATTTCAGGAATCCGTTGAGTTCCGTTAACACCTAGGAATCCTTGGACTGTCTAAGTCAAACATGGGAATATTTGCAGAAAAAGAGAGCAATAAATTGGCAATGCCGATGCTCTCTGGGTCTGAGGCCACCTTGCTCGGTCGGTCAAATTACCCAAGTTGCGAGTCTACCTCGTCTTCAAATCACCTTAAGGTCCGATATATTTCCGCAAGGGGGTGTTTCTGCGGAGACGACACGGCCCACCGGTTCGTCTGGAGGAGAGAAATACGGGCCTTACGTTCTGCTTTTTGGCTCTGGGCTAGGACGATTTTTAAGCGCTTGTATAATAGCGGGTAAAACCCTATCAACGGCTGCGCTTAAAGGGTCCGGTGCGGTATTTCATTTTAATTTATAACCTTCAGTGACTGTAAGTGACTCAAGCCCAGGACAGGCAAGCCTGACAGATTTGAACCTGAATACACCTTCGGATGATGAATTCTCTACCGGTAGTATAGTATTGCCAATAAAGACAAGGGAGACTGGAATGGCCATTTCTGACATATTAGCCATCGTTAGCCAGTCATATACCGACTCAAGTGGCGTCCCACCCGAGCCTCGTGGCTCAATGGTTAGGGCGTTTGGCTCTGATCAGGAAGGTCGCGAGTTCGAGCCTCGAGTGGACACCATTTGGGTCTAGTAGCACTTGGCTGACGATGGCTAATAAGGCAGAAATGGCCGTTTCAGTCTCCCTTGCCTGTGCCGGCAATACTATCTGCCTATACTGCTAGCTGTTGCGGGTGTCAGGGTCTCTGACGAGGCCCAAGGCAGGGCGGGACAGATGGCTGGTTAGTAGCCCTTGATGGATCCGAAGCCCCGCCGGGTGGGCCTTAATCCCGGCGGCGAGGAGGAGGAGGAGTCGGAGCAACTTGGTCGGGAAGGGCAGCTCCGTTATCAAAAACATGGAGGAGGGGGGATAGATCCACCGTAGGGAGGTTTGGTTTAGCATACCTTGGCCACCATGAGGGCGGGTGGGAAAGCGGTCGAAGACGCGTCTGCTGTGGGCGGGACAGATGAGTTCCGTTAGCGGTTAGGTGAACGTTCATCAACGAATTCTCTACCGCCTGACGACAGAATAATGTCTTATCGACTGTGGCAGTGAATGTTTCACAACAGTGGATACCTCCGATAAAATTTTGCCCATTACCAGGACACAGCCCCTATTTCGCATGGCAATCAGCCCAGATAGACGAATCACATTGACGCGTAACCCCTAAACACTTCCTACTGCAAACCCTAGATAAAGTGTTGGAGCTGGTTCGGCTAAATTGACCCGTAGGCTGATTTCAGGTCGGCGTGCCAAGTCTGGCGTCGTTGTCTAGAGCAAGTAATTAGGAGTTGGGGGCAC